TGAAAATAACAGTCCTGCGCAGCATGTTCAAATCAGTCTGTAGTAGGCGACTGAGGTTTAACTCAATTTGTGGAGCTACTGATAACTTAAAAAAATGCTTGAACCTCTGATAACTTGAAAATTACTTCCCCTGTGTGGAATGGGTACCAAACACTGAAGTTCAATCCCCATTGGGTGAGGCCAGTATGAGGTGAATCATTGCACTCAATATTTTGAGCTCCAATAGATGTAAAAAAATAGAAACTAGAAAATTTTACTGTCAGATGCTGTGTTTTGGGTTTTTGTATTTGAGGAACCACTTGAATAAATGACCTGAAATTTGGGGAACTACAGTTACCTCAGTTCCTCATGAGGCACAGGCATCATCAAGCCAGTTTGAGCCTGAGTATAGATAGATTTCAAAATAGTTTAATAAATCAAATGTTAAACATCTAACAGAATGACCAGGTACACAGTACAAACTTTTGCTATTATAAGAATGTCAGTTATGTAGTATGACTTTTTTATTACACTTTAGACTAAGCCTTTGGCCAGTATTGAGATAGCAATAACAGAATTAAATAGCTTATTTTGGCAGAGCCAGGGTGTCAAACTCATTTGGCCCTAGGAGCCAGATGAGTGGTGCAGGGCCAGTTCACAGGCTAGTTTGGGCTCACGGACACATTCTTCCCTGTCCTGCGTGCTGGATCCAGCGCCTATAGTACTTGCTCCAAAATCAGCACTACATATGGCACCTACACCAGCTGGTCCCAGACTGCAGCGCACAAAGTGCTCCCCACCTGCTGGCTGGTCTGAACTATGCTGCATGTGGTTCCTGTTCTAGTTGGTCTGGGACTCAAGCTGAGTGCAGCACAGGTCATGAAGTGCAGTGTATCCTGGACCAGGTGGGGGTGCTACGGTGCTGCATGCTGGTCAAAACAGGTGCATATGGCACAGTCATGGACAAGTTGGGGGACAAAGGGGATCACGTGTGTTATGGGTCATTGTGTGTAGCATGGGGCCTGTGCTTGGGGCCGGTCTGGTGTATGCAGCTTGAGGTATCTGAGTTGATACTAGAGGACATACGACAGGGCTCCACAGAGCCGCTCTAATTAGTACCCACAGCATCACATGCATTCAGTGTCCCACGCTTAAAAATGGTGGTGGGCAAAATGGTTGCAGTCGAATAAGCTTTAGTTCAAGTGCCCCGTCCGCTATTTTGATGCGTGGGGACACTGGATACATGCAACACAGAGGCTGACAGAATGCATTAATTGGCACATGTTGGAGCAGGCGTCCAACATGTGTATAGGTGCACTTTAAGCCCAACAATCCAGCCAGTTTTCTATCCACCTTACAGTCCAACCCATCCATACTTCCTTAGTTTGTGAGAATGTTGTGGAAGATAATATCAAAAATCTTGCTAAAATCAAGGTATATCATTTCCACTGGTCTCCCCACATCCACAAAGCTAGTCATCTCATCATAGAAGGCAATTGGGTTGTTCAGGCATGACTTGCCCTTGTTGACTCCATGCTGACTGTTTAATAACCTTCTCCCCAATGTGCTCAGAAATGAATTCTTTGACCACCTGCTCCATGCTCTTTTCAGGGACTGAGATGAAGCTGACCAGTCTTTAGTTCCCTGGATCCTCCTTCTTCCCTTTCTTTAAAGATGAGCACTATATTTGCCCTTTACCAGTCATCCAGGACCTCTCCCAATTGCCACAAGTTTTCCAAGATGACGGCCACTGGCTTTGCAGTCACATAAGCCAGCTCCCTCAACACCCTTGGGTGCATTGTGTCCAGCCCTATGGACTTGTACACATTCAGCTTTTCTAAATAGTCCCTAACCTGTTCTTTTGCCACTGACGGCTGCCCACCTTCTTCCCAAACTATGCCTCCAGGTGCAGTAGTCTGGGAGCTGACCTCGCTTTTAAAGACGAAGGTAAAAAAGGCACCGAGTACTTCAGCCTTTTCTGGGTCATCTGTCACTAGGTTGCCTCCCCCATTCAGTAAGGGACCTGTACTTTTCCCTGATCTTCCTGTTGTTGCTGACATACATGTAGAAACCCTTCTTGATGCCTTTCGCATCCTTTGCTAGCTGCAACTCCAATTGGGCTTTGGCCTTCCTGATTGCCTCCCTGCATGCCCAAGCAAATACTCTTATACTCCTCCCTAGCTTTGTTCAAGTTTCCACTTGTAAGCTTCCTTTTTGCGTGTTAGCTTGCTAAGCCAAAACACAAAAAGGAAGCCAAAACAGACTAGCTTGGCCCTGCTAAGCTAAGCAAGTCTACTGCTGTACTTGCTAGTTTTCCTCCACATCATGATGGTTTGTTTCCTGCACTCTCAGTAAGGCTTCTTTAAAATACGAGCAGCTCTCCAGGTATAGACACTGCCTTCCCCATTTGCCCACTAAAGAGGCATCCTTGGCTGTATGCTCCTGCCCTGTTGTTGGAGCCACAGCACTTCACACAATTGTGAAATGGTTCCCAGGTAGTGACATTTTGGAATGGTTCAGTTATGGGTGTCTGCACCCTATCTTGTAACAGTTGTGAACTGGTTCTCAGTCGGTGACATTTTGAAATAGTTCAAGTGGTATCTGTTTCTGCTCCCTATAGTGAGAAACAGACTATAGGTACCATTCTGATAGCAATATATGGGAAAATGCAATTATTTCTGAACTTGAGAAGATTAGCATTTTAAATAATACTATGTCTGTGCTCCATTTCTAAGCCCATCACCTTCCTCCTCCAGGACAACTCCAGTATATATTTCATCTCTTGTCATTGGGGAGCAGACCAGATCCAATTTGAGCATACAGTGAGAGTTCATATTTCTATTTACATCATCCCTACCCAGTTTCCTCTCCCTCCCCTATTTGATGCATTAGTGAGGAGTACCAGTGTGTTTTCTTTACATGGCTTTTGACCTGTACTAGGTCATATAGGTCACATGTGAGAGGGATGGAGAGCTTCAGGACCATCCCAACTAATGCAAAAATGATTGAAAAATGAGATTGGGTAGTTTCTATGTTGACCTGTCCTGCATAGAAAAGGTTTGTATTTCTAAAGTAAGCCATGAAGTTTAACCAGCTTGAATCCTGTTGGTCTGTTGAATGGAATTTCATCTCTTTCTAAGCTCACCATGGGAGTCAGTTAAGCAAAATCGTTGATAGTAGTTCAGCAAAATAGCGTTCTGTCTACTTAGCTTGTTTGTACTGAGTGATGAAAACTTGAAAAGATGAAGTAAATTACTCTGGGAGTATACTGAAAACTGAACTAATTTGGAATCAAAATTATTTTTATTGTGATGGAAATTTTTTGTGTTTCCTGATAGCAGTGTTATTGAAAAGTGGGGTAACTTTTTATTGCTGCATGTATTATTGGAAAAGATAATAACATACTATGCTATAGTCCCTGATTCATAAAAGCATCCTCATTAGTAGAAAGTACCCATGTTTTAATAGGACTTAAACACATTATAAGAGCCTTCCTTAATATGAATGCCTTTAAAGACATGCTTAAGTGCTACCCTGAATCTCAGGGCTTTGCCAAGTAAAGAACAAGAAAACAATTTACTTGTTATGGAAAATACATAAATAGAGACTTTTCTGAATGTTTAAACAGTGTTTTACACTTAAAAAGCTTTGGCAATCAAAAACAAAACAAATGTTTTACTTCCTTTGTTTTACTTCTAAAGTAAGTAAAATGTAACTCTACTGAATAATCTCACTCATTTTTTTTCCTTTTCCTATTTAGTAAAATACTTCATTTTTATTAGTTTCAAAATATGATTTTATAGACTTAACAGATTAAGTGAAAATAAACATAGATACGAACTATTGAAGATACAAAGATAGCTATAAAGTCAAGAGTTCTACCTTTGTCTTGAGTGGAATGTGGGGTTCATCCAAAGTTAACAAATAGTGAGTGATAGCTGACTATCATTGTAACATTTTCACTGAAAAGTACACCACAAAGGTCATGTTGATTTAACTATCTAACAAATCTGTCAAACTGACTTTGTCTGAATCTGATAATTAAGTGCTTACCCACTTCTAATTTTGCATCTAAAAACAGACTTTTTATTTATTCATCATTTTTTCTAGCTTACTTACATTTTAGTTTTATGAAAAATAAGCATTTGTCCTCATCAGCTTAAATTATTTTCTGTTACCCAAAATATTAACTTGTCAACTCTTATGGAAAGATTGAGTGTGCATGCTAGATAGACTGGAATATTAATGTAGAGTGAAACGTATAGCATAAAATGGATGTGCTTTCTTTTAGATATTTCAGATCCCCCTTATAATATTAGAGATTTACCATTACACATTCTCAGTTGCACATAATTTTGGCATTTTTGGACCCCATGTAATAATCCAAATACTCCCTTCACTGAACAAACACAAACATGTTCTATAAAATGAAACTGTTTCAGAACCTTAGCGTTCAAAACTGTGTCTGGGTTTATCTTTGTACTCTTTGAGTAATCTTGCAGATTTAAATGAGTGTAACTGTATACAATTAAGTATTTGTATAAATTTGTGGGCTGGTGCCATAATTGCAGAATTGTAGGGTTTTTTATTACACAAAGTGTGGCAGAAATTGGTGGTAAAAAGTGGCATTATTTTGATAAGTAGATGTACCAGTGTTTGCTATTTAGCTTTTGATAAATATGGTGGATATGTCACCATGTATCTAAGTCACCATGTATCTTCCACTAATTATTAATATTTGATTCTTGCTAGGTGAACTGACAATTTATACTGTATCTGTTCTGAAAAAAAAGTGTTAGAAACTGATTTCTGTTCTTTGTTATGTTGTATTATATACAAGACTAAACATTTTTCTTTTAATTCTTACAAAAAAATATTGTGAGTTTGTGAAGTTTTCTATGATATGACAGAAATGTCTTGTTTGTCTTAATATGCTTATTGGTTGATGCATAAGGATTTTTTGGGGTGTCTAACTGTCTCTTTTCCTCCCCCCCCTTCCTTTCTTTGAATCAAAATGCTAGACCTACACAAGTACTAGCAACAACTCAATGCCAGGCTCCTTGAAGAGGTTGGAGGATACCACAGCTCGATTTACAAATGCAAATTTCCAGGAAGTCTCTGCACATACTTCAAGTGGAAAAGATGCTTCAGAGGCAAGAGGGTCAGAGAGCAAAGGGAAGAAATCTGCAGGTCACAGCTCAGGTCAGAGGGGAAGAAAGCCTGGTGGTGGAAGGAATCCAGGAACAACTGTGTCGGCAGCTAGTCCTTTTCAGCAAGGTATTAATTAATAATTATTCTGTTTTGAAATGCAATTATATTAGTGAATAGAAATTTTGTACTTAAGTTTATTCTTTAACCTGAATACAAATGTTAAAAAACGAATGACTTCAAGAAATGCATGTTGCTTTTTCAGAAAAAAATGGGTTTCTCTTTGGACAGAGTCGTAGCTCTTTTTTTCCATATGGTTTATTTATATATCATGCCTTTTTAGATTGGTACACTTTTCCCATAAGCTTTCTGTTTCCAGCAGTTTATAAATGTGCTGAAAAAATAATTCAAAACTGAAATTCAGCATATAAGGTATAAGCCTAGGGGACATAGTTAAAAATATTAAATCTTTTAAGTGGGGTTGGGGTGATGGTTGTAGCTGTGATGGTTCCAGAAATATGCAAGAGCCCAAGGACATTTGTGAGTGATATCTTTTACTGGACCAACTGCATGGCTGGGAGAGATAGACAAGCTTTTGAATGAAGTCCATTCTTCTTTGGGTCCTGAAGTGACCTGAAGAATGCATGATTTTGGGCACAAACACCCTTCTTCAGGCATAACAAATGGCAAAATTTGATATGTTCTATGCTTTAGGGTTGTTGGTTGTAGCCATGTTGGTCTAAGGACATAGGCAGACAAGGTTCTTTGTGTAGATATGATATCTTTTGTTAGACCAACTAAATAGTTGGAAAAATTGTTCCTTGTAAGCATATGCCTGAAAAAGGGTGATTGTGCCTGAAAGCTTGCAAAGAACAATTTTTCTAACTATTTAGTTGTGGTAATAAAAGATATCCCCCGTAATAAAAAATATCAACAACCCTGAAGAATGCACTACATGCAAAAAAGCTTGTGTAAGTCTCTTTCCCAGTCATACGTTTGGTTTGGTAAAAGATGTCGCCCACAAAAGTCCTTGCCTCCTGCATGAAACATTTAAAATATTAACACTAATGGCTTTAAGTTGCTGCGTGTAAAAATGAAGTTGAACTAATTACTGTTTATAGCTTTATATTTTAAAACGTATAATATGTTCTAAGATTTTTTTCCCCCAAGATGAAAAGTCTTGTGGGCGACATCTTTTACCAAACCAAACGTATGACTGGGAAAGAGACTTAGACAAGCTTTTGCATGTAGTGCATTCTTCAGGATTGTTGAGTACACAGTTTCTTTTAAATATCTAAATGCCTTTGATAGCATTTCAGCATATCGTGTACAAAATGCTTGTTTGAGGGAGAACATGTAAGATTATAACAACAGAATATCAACTTTACCTGTTAATGCTCTGGTGTTTAAAAGTTTGTAATTACTCTATACGTATTTTAGAGTTTTGAGAAAAAAAACATTTAAGAATGAGTACATTTGAAAGCTTGTTAGATGTATTTTTATTTATATTCTTTGTCTTCTATGTTGAAAGTGAAAATTTCTTGTCTAAAGCAATTAAAATTTTAAAGGTTTATTAGTTCCCTGAAGATTTTTCTTCAAGTTGCAGTTTTTATGTAGCAAATTTAAAATCAGCATAAAAATTAGATTAATCTTGCTTCTTTTTACTTTTCATTTTGTATTTAACTAACCTCCTTTTCTTTTCAGGCTAAAATTTAGACCCAGCAAGTGGGTAACTAACTCTCAGGTTTGCTGAGATACTTAAAGATGACTGTCCTACTCCTGTCCTACTCCTGGGAGTTTTTTCGCCTTGCTCTCAATGTGTTCTTTATAATTATACAATTTGAATATTAGCAAGAAAAAAAAGGGAAAGCTCTTTTTCCAAATGAAGGTATTATAAAAATATGTATTAAGACATGAGATTTGTTTTAGGGAAGAACAACATTTTGGGCAATCATTGTAACATTTACTGTCCTTAACAGATTTCTTTGTGTAACATTTTGAGGTGCTTTCCAAGTGTTTCAAAACAGGCTTTACTCTAATGTTTTCTGTAACTAAGATTTTTTGTATTGCAAAATTAGGGATGAAAATGGAACACTTCTATTCTAGTCGTCTTAGTAGTCCCATCCCATTGAAGGCAAAAAACCAATTTGCATACATACTGTTTGTAGGATTGAGCTTTCCTAATAGCAGCTTTTCCTGGTACTCATTGATTTCATAGGCCCCATATACCCATGCAGGTAAAGGCATAATAGGATCTAATGTGCAATTCATGCAGTTGTGCCTCCTGCCATGTTACACCACGGGGGCAGAGGAAATATCCCTGTGGCAATTCCTACACCCCAGAGCCCTCTAGGGTTTGTGGCAGCTTTGATCCCCAGGACCTGGGGGTTTCCCATACCCTGAAGCTCTGGGGATCACGTCTGCCTCCATCCACAGAGCCCAGGGGCTTTACGTTGGGCATGGTGCTCAGCCTCAGGGGAAACCTGGTACACATGCAAGTTAAAGCTCAATAGCAACCAGCTATAAAGTTAGTACACATTTTCGAGGTATAACTTCATAGCTGATTGTAGCTTTTTATTGTGTGTTGGAGCTTTTTGCACGTGTAGCTTGTCTCCAGGTAATTATGCCATTAACCAGTTAATAGTGCAATACGTGTAACATGTAAAGGGGGCCATATATAAAATATATACATTTAAAAATCTTAATTTTGCCTTCTTCACACAAATAAAACATATTTTCAGTATATTATATTTATGTATCAGCAAAGCTGTTTATGTTTCTTAGACTTCTGTTTGTTTGTTTTTAATACTATACAAATGAAATACAGAAGCCCAGAGTGGCAATAGAATGATGTGAAAAAAATAAAGGTTTTTTTAAAAGCGCTGTTTTCTGCTTTTCTAACCAAGCTGGTGATTGCTTAGTATTTTAAGGTATGTTATTGGCTAGTAATGCTAGATTTGCTAAAATACCATATAGTTTTAAAGTATTTAATATGCCAGTATGCTCTTTACACCAGCTGTAAAAACAAAAGGGTAGAAGAAACGCAGATGATGACAGGTCAGGATTGATGATGGAAACCCTCTATAGCTACTAATTAAGTGGCAGGATTGTAGTTTATCCTACAATCACTGACTTTATCTAAATGATAAATATTTAACTCATTGATATTTTGTTATGTTACATTAATATTATGTTATTATAAACATATTAATGTTAAAACAACAAAAACAGCTTTTATCAGTTTCCTCAAAAGTAATTTTGTGATTCTCAAGTATGTTCTGATGCAGTCAGAGGAATTCTAAATCTGAAGTTCAGTAAGTTCAATAAGGACAAGTACAAGTCTTGCACTTAGGCGAGAATAATCCCATGCACTGGTATAGGCTGGGGACTGACTGGCTGGGCAGCAGCTCTGCAGAAAAGGACCTGGGGGTTAGTGGATGATAAGCTGAATAGGAGCCAACAGTGTGCCCTTGTTGCAAAGAAGACTAATGGCATACTGGGCTGCATTAGTAAGAGCGTTGCCAGCAGATCGAGGGAAGTGATTATTCCCCTCTGTTTGGCACTGGTGAGGCCACATCTGGGGTATTGTGCCCAGTTTTGCTGCCCCCCCCCTTTCCTTCTCTGCCCTAAAGAAAGGATGTGGACAAATTGGAGAGAGTTCAGTGGTGGGCAGTGAAAATGAGGGGTCTGGGGCACATGACTTTTGAGTAGAGGCTGTGGGAACTGGGCTTATTTAGTCTGTAGAAGATGAGACTGAGGAGCAGTTTAATAGCAGCCTTCACCTACCTGAGGGGCCATTATGAAAAGGATGGAATTAGATGTTTCTTAGTGGTGGCAGCAAGGAGCAATGGTTTTAGGTTGCAGCAGGGGAAGTTTAGGTTAGATGTTAGGAAAAAAAATTCTCACTAGAACAGTAGTAAAGCATTGGAACAGGCTACCCAGAGAGGTTGTGGAATCTCCATTTTTGAGGTTTTTAAGACTTGGGTAGTTAAAGCTTTGGCTGGGATGAGGTCATTGGGGTTGAACTAGATCTTCTGAAGTCCCATCCAACCCTAATTTTCTGTGATTCCATGATTCTAAGTATATGTTCTTCAATGGTCAGTGGCTTTCATTTTGTCCAAAATGTAGGTTTCATAAAAGAGAAAGTTAAGGCACACATGAGATAAAGTTAGGGAATGCAATTCCATGCTGCTCAGGCAGTATAAATTAGCCCTGAAGTGCCACTCAAAGCACCTTCTGCCTTTTATGCCCTTCCCAACCAAAGAAATACTCCCATCCTTGTACAGAGGATTTTCGCAGACATTGTAGAACTAGTAATTGCTCTGTACAAACTGGGTTGCAGAGTACCAAGGACAGATTGCAAATTGTCGGGGGTGGGAATTCAGTCCATACTGCTACCATGGTTATTCAGGGTGGCCACTGAAAGCAGAGTGAAAGTTTGAGCAACATATTCCTACCTTACACTAGGAGATTGTAACCATCTTGTTTTTTTTCACCACCTCCTCCTTTTCTATTTCACCTTTGTCTTAAACTCAGGAATGGTGAAACTGAGAATCAGATCTGGTTAAGTGAAAACCAAGAAGCCAATAGAACTAATTAAAGTAAATTACATTTTTTTTAAAAGCCTTTCCTTCTTGTTAGTACAAATATTTCATACTCAGTTATATTTTCTAGCCTATCCAAATCTTCAGCTGATTTAACAGTAGTAGTATTTTTTTAAACCAATCTTTATTTTTCCTTCTTTCTACAGGTAGTTTTTTGGGGACACCTGGCAGTATAAAATCATCTTCTGGAAGTTCAGTACAGTCACCCCAAGATTTCTTGAGCTTTACAGAATCAGATCTACGTAATGACAGCTATGCTCATTCCCAGCAGACTTCATCAACCAAAGATGTACATAAAGGAGAGACTGGAAACCAAGAAGGGACTGTGAATTGTTTTAGTTCCTTAATTGGCCTCTCATCATCCTCAGCTGTTGTTTCCCAGTCTAAAAGTTTTGACAGCTCACCTGGTGACTTGGGTAATTCAAGCATTATTTCAACAGGATACAAGCGAGCTCAGACTTCTGGGATAGAAGAAGAGACTGTAACAGAAAAGAAACGGAAGGGAAATAAGCAAAGTAAACATGGGCCTGGTCGACCCAAAGGAAATAAAAGTCAGGAGAGTATTTCCCACCTATCGGTGTCTTCTGCTTCCCCAACTTCATCTGTGGCATCTGCTGCAGGCAGTGCAACAAGTTCTAGTCTTCAGAAATCACCAACATTGCTCAGGAATGGCAGTATACAAAGTCTTAGTGTTGGCTCATCTCCAGTGGGGTCAGGTAGGCTACTGTTGAATTTATTATTTTGTTGTCTTATCTCAAAACCTATGAGACTTCATTTAGTCTAGAAAGCCACAATTCTCAATAAACTTTTAGAAATGCAACATAAGAGTTTAGTTTAATGCTCTTTTTAAAAAATTACGAAGTAGAAAATAACTTTCATAAAAATAATTTTGTGCCATATGTGCCCGCGTTTCCCTATTCTTAAGCAGCTACTGTCAGTTGATCTGATATATCCAGTATAGGCCTAACCTTTGAATCTACAAAAGCACATAACTGCATAAAAACTGTTTGGAAATGGCATAATGTAAAATTTAGCCTCGGTAATTAATTTGTGCATGTTATCCAGTTACATGTTCTGTTGCACATACAGAAGAAATTTGTTATTAAAACATATCCAGTGCCCTCAGGAGCTGACAGATTGCCCTCAATTATATTTACTTTCCCTAAATAAAAGTTCTTGAAATCTGTTCATGGAAAAAAGGACTTGCTTAAAAATATTTAACAAGCTCTTAATCATAATCTTGAGCCAAGACACTTGAGTGACCAGCTCCCACTCTTGTATCTCTCTAAGCCGTTGAAATGGGCTGATTTATCTTTTGTATCTTAAATGTGTATTTGAATTGGGTCAGAATAGGGCTTTTCTTATTCAGGAGCCTGTCTATGGAAGAACCTCACCGGGTATTATACTCACCAGAGTTTCCCTCTTGTCTTCAAGGCTCCTTTCAAGCCCTTTCTATTTGGATTAAGTAATCTTTAACCATTTGAATTCCTTTTGCACTAGCTTTTACTTTTGAATTCTGGAGGTATTTTGTTTTTGTTTGTTTGTTTTTTCTTCCTTTTGGTTCAAGTTTTTGGCTTAACTTTTGAGGTTTTGGGTCCTATTATACAAATCTTTATCATATATGCACAGTACTTCAGATGCCTAGCAATAGGTATTTCCAAGAATAATTAAAGAAGAAGGCAACTATTCCATAACTAGTTGTAAGCAAAAATATATAACTCCAAACAAATAATATTTTACAAAAAGTAAAATACTGCACTATGTAGAATTCTATTTTTTTCTTAATGGACAGGAAGTAATAACATTAGGGTCAGAAGAAATTCCTTTAACATTGAAATTACTGGGGAAAATGAAAATGTGAAGGTAAATACTGAGTTATGTTTTTCCAAAACCTACAGAATTATGCTTTGATCTTGCATCATGTTCTCCTAATACAGTCTTCATCTCTGTGCAATTCAACTGAAGCAGCTCCCATTTTTAGTGCTCTGGTAAATGTGGTGCTAAATTAAAATGTAAGATTTTGGTTTTAGATTATTTTACTTTCTTCTCTAAAGTGCTTTGATATTAATGGACAGAAAACAATGCAAATACTAGTTATGTTTGTTGTGGCTTTTACTACAAGCGTTTATTTTAGCTACCCAACTTTTTATTCTCATATCCAGATCCTAGCTACCCCTGGGAAGTGGTTTTCTCTGAAAGTGCTATGTTGAATAGTAAGAATACGGACAGGAAGTCTATGACTTTGACACAGATGAGACCTGGGTTCAGATCCCTGGTCAGCCATGTACTTTCTTTTACTATATTTTAATGTTTTATGCCCCAGTGTTTCTTGTTTAAAAAGGCAATAGTAATTCTCTTCTCCACTTCACTCGCAGAACTACAGAGTTTAAAAATCTTTTAATAAATTTGAGGCATTTTGACACAAAATGAGTGTGTTTTATTATAATTTATTTGTAGTTTCATTAACTTGGAGAAGAATTTTAGCCCTGGTCTAGTCCTTTTATACTGAGTTCCACGTATGGGTGTAGTGAAGTCCTCTGGATCAGGAACCCTAGGGGTGGATAGGGGAAAACAATCCCTTTAGCAAGCTCTGGCACAGATAGAAGAGCAGGAGGGTATATTTAGTGGTTGAGAAGAGCCAGTTACTGCTTCAAGGATTCTCAGTTTCTTTAGAGTAACCCATGGAATTATAGAATCATAGAGAGTCTGGAAGAGACCTCCAGAGGTCATCTAGTCCAATCCCTTGCTTGAGCCAGGATTATTCCAATTGAAACCATCCTATACAATCTGTAATCTAAACTGTATATAAAAACTATCATGAACCCTGACACAACACAGACCTAACACCCTAACCTGCCATAGATAAAGCAGGGAAATCACAGCAGTCAATATCCTGCTTCTATGAAATGTTGTCAATATATGATCAAGAGATCCCAGGAAATAGGAATGTCTAACCCTACTCTCCATTACAGAAGAAAGCAAATAAACCCATATTCCATACCAATCTGATCATGTCATAAGATTGTTTCCTGATGCCAAATATGGCAGTCAGTCTGGCCATGAGTGAAGGGGCAAGACCTTCTAGCCAGGAACCTCTGGGTTAAGTTCCAGGAGGAGCTTTGGCACATTCCAGTCAAAATCCCCTGCTTTGGCTGCAGCCAGCACCCAGTGCCTTTGAGGAAGGCTTAAGAAATTTGATGCATGTAGCACAAAGGGAGGGCAACCAGCAAAGCCAGAAGCATGAGAAATACCCATAGTAGAACATAGGTATAGCTGTGCCTAGATCATCCCTAACCAGTGTCTGTTCAGGCTCTTCTTAAACATCTCCAGTGATGGAGAGTCCATAACTTCCATAGGCAGTCTAGTCCACTACCTCACTATTCTAACAGTGAAGAAATTTTACCAGATATCCAATTAAAACTCACTTTGCTGCAGCTTTAAGCCATTAATCTGTGTCCTTCTCTGTAGCAAGAGAGAAAAAGTACTTTCCCTCTTCTTTATGTCAGACCTTCAAGTATTTGAAGACTGCTGTCATGTCCCCTCTTAAGTGCCTTTTTTGTAAGCTAAACATTCTTAGCTCCTTCAGCTTCTTCTTGTATGACTTGCTTTCCAAGCCTTTGATCATCTTTGTTGCCTGCCTTTGGACCCTCTCTAACTTCTCCACGTCCTTTCTAAAATGTGGAGCCTAGAACTGCACACAGTACTCCTGATGAGACCTAACCAGTGCTGAGTAGAGGCACTGTCATCTCCTGTGTCTTGCACCTAATACTTCTGTTGATGCATCCCTAAACTGCATTTGCCTTTTGTGAAGATACATGACGCTGTGGACTAGTATTGAGTCTGTGATCTACCAAGACTCGCAAGTCCTTTTCCATAGCGCTGCCATCCAGCCAGGTGTCGTCATTTTTATATTTGTGTTTTTGATTGATCCTCCAAAGGTGTGTACCGCCTTGCATTTGTTCACATTGAACTTCATCCTGCTAGCGCTAGTCCAGCTTTCTTATTTGTTCAGATTTTTTAATTGCACTCATTCTCCAGTGTATTTGCAGTCCTTCCTGGTTTTGTGTCATCTGCAGACTTGCTCAAGAAGCTTTCTGTGCTAGCATCCAAATTGTTAATAAATACAATGAACAGCACTGAGCCCAGGATGGACCCCTGTGGTTTCCATTTGAAAACTCCTGCCATTCTGACATGGACCTGTTAATAATTTCCCTTTGCTTGTGGTATTGAGCCACAAGCCTTGTGGCCACAAGCCTTGGTATCCGCCTTGTAGTAGTTTTATTTAGCCCACATTTCCCCAATTTGTTTATGAGACAGTCATGCTGGACCTTGTCAAAAGCCTTGCTAAAGTTCAGATACACTAGCCACAGCGTTCTCTTCATCCACCCAAGTAATTACTTTGTCAGAGGAGGAGATGAAGTTTGTTTGACACTATTTGTTGTTCATAAATTCATGCTGTCTGCTTGGGATCAACGTTGCCTCCTCCAGCTGCTTGCAAATCACCTTCCTAATGATATGCTCCAGTAACTTCCCAGGTATTGAGGTGAGGCTAATTGGTCTGTAGTTCCCCAGGTCCTCCCTTTTTGCTTTTTTAAAGAGGAGCACTACATTGGCCATTCTCCAGTCCTCTGGTGCCTGGCCATCTCCCACAGCTTCATGAAGACCATTGCCAAGGGTTCAGAGATCATAGAAACAATGAGTCGGAAGGGACCTAGACAGATCATCGAGTCCGACCGCCTGCCATGGGCAGGAATGAGCACTGGGGGTGGGAGGGGTCATAAGACCCCAGCCTGGTGCCTATCCAGTCTCCTCTTGAAGATTTCCAGGGAAGGTGAGAGCACCACCTCTCTGGGGAGCCTATTTCAGGCTCTGGCCACCCTTACAGTGAAGTAGTTCTTCCTGATATCCAACCTAAATCTATCCTCCCTCAGCTTGTGGCCATTGTTCCTGGTGACTCCAAGGGGGGCCCTGGTGACCAGACTTTCCTCTAGTCCCTGCTGCTGGCCCCTGATAAAGTTGTAGGCAGCCACAAGATCCCCCCTCAGTCTCCTCTTGCGGAGACTGAAGAGATTCAGGTCCCTCAGCCTCTCCTCACAGGGCTGGCCATGGAGGCCCTCAACCATACGAGTGGCCTCCTCTGGACCCTCTCCAGGTTCTCCACGTCCTTGAAGTGCGGCGCCCAGAACTGGACCCAGTACTCCAGCTGCGGCCTGACCAGCGCCGCACAGAGGGGGAGCAAGACCTCTCTGGACCTGTTAGTGATGCCCCTGTTGATGCATGGCAGGGTGCGGTCGGCTCTGCCTATTGCTTCGTCACATTGCCTACTCATATTCATCCTGGAGTCAATCCTGACTCCAAGATCCCTCTCTGCCTCTGTGCTGCTGAGAGGGTCAGCCCCTAACCTATAACCATAATGCTGGTTCCCTCTCCCCAGGTGCAGCGCCCTGCACTTGCCCTTGCTGAACGGCATCCTGTTCAGATCCGCCCACTTCTCTAACCTATCCAGGTCTGCCTGGATGCGGTCCCTGCCTGCTGGTGTATTCAGATCTCCTCTGCCAGTTCCTTCAGTATACCACGGTGAAGTTCATGAGGTCCTGCTGAGTTTAATTCATTCAGACCCAACAAAAGCTCTCTGACCATGTCTTTTTGTTATGTTCTCCCTCATCTTGCCCCCTTCTTATCCAGATAATCCTTATTAGGTTTGGCTGCAGTATATTTTTTTGTGAAGACTGAGGCGAAGTAGCAGTTGAGTTGATCCATCATCTTTGCATCTTCAGTTAGGCGTTTCCCCTTGTTTGTTAATCATGGACCCACGCCTTTGTTGATCCTTCTTTTCTGGCCAACATACTTTCAAAAACTCATCTTGTCTTTAACCTCTTTTGGCAGGTTCTTTATCTCTGTCTTCCTGATTTTGTCCCTGCAGGTTCTTGCTCTTTCCTGGTACACTTTCTTGGTAACCTGCCCATTCTTCCATTGCCTGCATGTTTTCCTTTTGTATTTCAGGCATTTTTGCAGCTCTGTGTAGCCACATTGGTCACTTGTCATTCTTTTTGCAGTTCTGTTGTGTTGAAACAGTTTTCTGGTTGGGCTTCCAATATTCTGCCCTTTAGAAGCTCCCAGTCCTCATCAGTGCCTTTATCTTTCTGCCTCTATCTTTTAGCCTACCGTGACACCATGCCTATTAATTCCCTCAAGTTAAATATTACACTACATTTAATAGTGTAGTGTAAAACTATTACACTACACTATTAGTAGTGTAATACTAATACAAGTTAAATATTACACTTCATTTCAACTGTGGGTAAGAGGAGATTGATTGAGATCATTTTAGTTAAAACTTAAAAGCTTTATTAGAATACACAATATCAAAGATGCATTTGGATTAATAAAGACAATGCTTTTGTAGCCTTGGATTTCAGGAAGAAACAGGTTTGCTGGCCAGGACTTTTTGTTTTTCCTGGGGATTGAGTTGGTTTGCTCAGCTCCATAGAAGTTCAAATTTAAAAGTTTTAAAGTAGCAGTTTTATTTTTTCAGCCTATGCTCAATGTTTATATTTGACTGGTTTTAGTATTTTAATGAATTAGTTGTGGTTTTATTTAATTTTCTTTTGTTTAACTGAAACCTTTAGAAGTGGATTAAACTGAATTTTTGTGGACCCTGTAAGGTGTTAATTAGTTGGGATTTATATTTTTGTGAAAGCAAAAGGAGCAAGGGAAGCTTTTTTCCCTTTTTCTTTTCTATTTTGGAATGCCATTTTACACTGGTTTGTTTCTTTTAACCTTAGATTACTTATGTTTGACAAGGCTGCATTGCTTTTACAACTTAATTAAGCATTTTAACAAAAATACATTTATTATAGCAAAATAACATTTAATGTATTTGGTTATATTAATTAGTACTTTTAATTGTTTTAAGATGAAACTATGATTATTTGGATTATTTGCTGTATGTTTTTATAGTGGTTTTTTTTTCTAGGCTTCGTGCTTTGTTTGATTTGTGTTTAATTAAATATGCATGGTTTGTTTTTTGCTTTGCTGACCAAGTTAGTTGTTACATCTGTGAAGGGTTTACATTACAGTTGTTTAGACACAGGCTTTTGAGGCCTTTTGCTTAGCTGTACTTCTAACTTTTGCAGCTTTGACTTAGGTTTTTAAAAGATCTTGAACTTTGGCAACAACATACCCATGGTTTATGCTGCATAGGCCTTTGTATGACTTACAGATGAAATCTGCCTTTTTGAAATCTAGCATCCTAATTTTGCGGCGCTTGTGCTTTTCCTGTCTGAGGATCTGGAACTCTACTGTATTGTGATCGCTTCCTCCCAAGTTAACCCATCATATTCATATCCTCCACCAGTTCTTCCCTGTTGGTCAGGACAAGACCCATGATAGATATTCCTCTAGTTGTAGGTTTCTGGAAGAGAAAGTTGTCCTCCACAGAAGTTGGGAACTGTCTTGATATTTTATGTTTGGCTGCTTTGTTCTATCAGCTGAAGTCCAGAAAACTGAAGTCTCTCATCAGTACCATTCCATAGCTTTTGGATAAATTTGTCACCTGCTTAAGAGTGTCCCATCCACCTCCTCATCCTGATTAGGTGACCAGTAATAAATCCTCACCATTAGATCAGTGTTGCATCTTTCATCTTTTATTGTCACCCAAATGTATTAGCATCCTATGAGGAGAAAGGTGCTATAAACAGTGGACAACTCTCCAAGCTCCCTAACTGACATTCAAGCCAGTCTGGCCAGCCTTACATATGAAGCATAATTATTAACTCATTTTAGCTTCCTCCTCCTGCGCATGCTGCAAATGCAGTTGAAGGCCAAGCGCAGAATCTCTTACCATAGTCCAAAGTTATAGGATGTTAAGTATCCACTAAAAATAACTGAAAGTAATTTATAGAGGTGCACTGATGCATCGGTCCAATATCAGATTGGTACCAATATAAAGAAAACTGGCTGTGTCAGATATTGACCCAACGGGACTGATAATTTGCCCGAGTTCTGTGTTGAGTGCACCTGCAGTGCAGCACTTGGGCAGCAAGGAGCACAGCCGGCAGTGTGGAGAGCTGTCTCCAGCTGGTAAGTCTGGTGTAGTAGAAGGGGTAGGGGGGAAGAAGAGGGGCATGGTGGGGGGAAGGTCAGTGTCCCACATGGTGAGGGAAGAGGCAGGGGCAGGAGGTGCCCAGGCAGGGTGGAGGGGAAGGGCAGAGCGGAGCCATGGCTCATGTGCAGGGGCCGCCGCTGCTTGCACCCCAGGAGGGCACACAGGGGGACATGTGCCCCTCGATCTGTGTGGGACAGGGTGGGGCAGGCTGCAGCCAAGGCTTTGTGGGACCCTTCTCATTAGGGGCTGGGCTCAGAGCGGGTGCTGGCGGCACTAGGAGGATGCTGCATCCACCCCAAATTTCGCTGTCACTCCGCTTCCAGTGCTGCGACTGCCAACTGCCTGGTGCAGGCTGGGCTCAGTGCCCTGCCTCCATCCACACGCCGGGAAGAGCTGGGGCTGTACCAGGCAGGTGGCGATGGTGCTGGGAGCGGAAAGGCACTGAAATTTGGGGTGGATGCAACATCCTCCCAGCACCACCGGCACCTGTTCCACGCCCAGCCCCCACTGAGAAGAGCCCAATTCTGCCTGCCCTGCCCCGCACAGATCCAGGGAGCACATGCTCCCCTGTGCCCTCCCGAGGTGCAAGCAGCGGTGGGTGTTGTTTTCCAACACCCCGGCCTCCATTCTGCCCTGCCTGGGCATCTCCTTCCCCCTGCCTCACTGTGGGGGAAGTTGATTTGCCCCCCCGCCCCTGCTCCCTCCTTCCTCCTCTTCCACCACACTAGACTTACCAGCTGGAGGAAGCTGTATAGGAAATTGGATCGGTATTGGCTAATAATGCCTCCTTAAATATCAGCTATCAGTATCAGCCCCCAAAATCTCTATCGGTGCACCCTTAGTAACTTCTGCATACCAAATACTGGTATGTCATATTTTGAAAATCCCTTGTCTCATGTTATCTGAGCTTATCTAATCAAAATTTGAATTTTTTCTTTACTGTAGGATGCTCTCATTTATGGTTACAAGTTAGCAAACATAGGTCAAATCAGATAGTGGTTTTAAAAAAAATATCTTGTAATTCAGCGTGAGGTGGTTGCTATCAGAACTCTGATGTAGATGTACATAAAGGTGAAATCTTGATTAAAACTTACATTCAGAGGCAAGACTTGCCTCTATTAATTTTAGTAAAAGATATATTTTTCTGTCCAGATGTCTTCCTCTTCTTGTTAACAGTGAAATAGAAGTTTGTGTTTAGTGAGCTGAGACCTCCACAGCCAGTCTTAAAGTAATTGTTAAATTTGTAAAGATGGTTCCACATTTCAGAATCAATTTTAGAAGAAAACAGCTTTTTCCCCAAATGTAAGTTGCGAACTACAGATAAAATTCTTCAACTGCTATTGGCCTTACAAAATTCCGAAGAGAATCAAATAACCAAGAATAGTCAAAAGGTTAAATTCTCTAAAAATAATAATAAAAATAAGAGTTTGATTTGATATTTTTACACCATCATGCATAAAAATAACTAAAGTACAAAATTTAAGATTGTCAGGTGCATGATTTTAGGTCAGCCCTCTATATAAGTTGTGTGGGGGTTTTTCTGTTTTTTTTTTGGGGGGGGGGG